CCCCGGGGCCTGCCACGTGGGGTGGCAGGCGAGCGGCGACGGGAACTTGGCCCGCAGGCCAGCACCTCGCTGCAGCAGCTCCGCACGCTCGGCTTCACTTAGCCGCCCTCGCGTTCCATCCCAGAGTCACCGAGGCCGGGCAGGCTCCTCCCTCCGCAGAAACCTCCCAAAACACCTTCACTCGGTCGGAGGAGGTGCGCGCCGCTGGATACGTGTTCACTTTTGTACGTTTCCCTCCCCGTCTCTGAAATGTACTGCAGGAGGGGCAGCTGCAGAGATGTGTCTTCTGCATATTTCCACAAACCAAAATGTCCTGTCCCAGTTCCAAATAAACCGTATTATATTCACTTTTCAAACTAGATTTCACTCCACTTCCCCCAGACTCCTAAAAAGTCTCGTCCGTTCGCCCCAACTCGCGCTGTTGGAGAGAGGAAAAGTCCTTCTGACATGGGATGGGCCTGTTGAGATGGATATCAGGCCTCGGAAATGCAAATTTCTTGAGAAAATAAACTACCCATCGAATCCCCATTGTAGGGTCCTGCCGGACGTTAGGATTATTTCCTCTTTGGCTAAACCAGCTACCACCAGGGGCTGGGAGACCCAGGGGAAGGGTTTTCCAGCAGAATTGCGGCCAGTTAGTACCGCAGCTGGTACCTTGCCCAGCTGGCACCGGGAGTCGCTGCATCTGCGCGCAGAAGAAAGACAACCCACTCTAAACAAGGCTTGGGGAGAACACACCCATGAAGGAAAACAGGAAAGGAAAGCAGACCGTCTCGAGCAGGTGGCAGAAAAGACCCGGTGCGCAGTAGCCGCTTTCTTCCCAGGGCTGGGAGAGAGGGGGAGACAGCACTGGGTCCGGGCCAGAACCTTCTGGTCGCTCTGGAACAGACTGGCTGGGCCTGGGTGCTTCTAAAATTCAATTACCCACACCCTGTTATTACAGTGCTGCAGAGGGACTGGGGGGAGTCAGGATATTCCTCTCATTTATTTTCCAAGTAATTTCAAGTAATGATAGCTCTTGCAGAATCTCCCCCAGAGCCCCTTCATCTCTGTAATAACCCTTTCTATTTACCTTTCCTGGTTCAACTCACAGTGTTGTGTAGACACTGTGTCATCCAATGTGGGCCTCTAATCCCAAGTCGGAAAAGGTCAGTCCCTTTCAGGCCTTTCCTAGGGTACTGGAAAAGAAATGAGCAGCCCACCCAGAGATAAAGTCAAAGTGCTGCAAACACACACAGCTCATAATACTGCGAAGTGCACATCCCAAAGGACTGTTGTCTCTCCCTAAAACCCGGGTCCCCAGAGGTCCCTGGCTCTTCTAGGCAAGCTGTCAGTACTCCATCTGGGAGGGATGGCTTCACTGCTCAAAGTACAGATGGGGGGCAGGAGGCTGACACCCCCACCGCGGGGCCTATCACGCAGTCTCACTTGTTTGCTCCCAGAGTAAATGCGGAGCTGCCAAAGTCCAAATGGGCACCCAAAGCCGATAAGCTATCGGTAATTCGTGAGGAGCTGCGGGAACACAATTAATGATTAACATAGCCCAAATCAAAAGTGCCGTAAGTCTCCATGTCCACCCCACACAATTGTTTGAGGAGTACCCTAGCTAAATCCTCTCGTCACTGATAGTGCTGTTCCTCATGCTTAGTGCAGGTTGGGCTCCCAGATCTCTTCTTTCCCTTAACATGCCCCTTCCCCCACTCCTTACCCCATTTCTATTTGTTGAAATTCAACTCTCCAGTCACCTCAGCGAGCTTCCCAACTCTTCTAAAGCCTCTTTAAAATGGTCTACCCTTTCAAACTGTTTTGACTGTAATTTTTTTTTTTTTTTTTTTTTTTTTTTT